TACACAACACTCATACACACCCTTTGCCGGCAACATTCCTGAAGGAGATGTCGACGTTGATCAAGAGTGGCACACTGTGGTTCTCGGATTTCCACAAGCGTTGGATGACAGCACCAGAAGCCTTGACCTGTCAAGGTTTTCCAGTGTATCCTGAATCATCCTATGGTACTGCATGCTGCTCATGGGCAAATCGATTTACTCCACAGTGTGATGTGCCGTTTCCGGGAAGATCTGTAGCCATAGGACAAGCAGGGAACTCAATGCATACCGAAGTGGCAGCAACAATTCTCTCATATGCATTGTTTGAGATTCGATTGGCCACCAATGCTCGTATGCTGGTCAAAGTTGGCATGTCCATTTTGGAAAGGCCACTCAGCGTCAGTAACCATAGCTCAGTCAATGTGAGCAGGCATCGTTCTGACAATGATGCTGATGACCAGTTGACATGGTGGCAGAAGCGTGCTCGGCTTGAAACCAAGCCCTAATCTATGAGGAATCATGAGCAATATTAACGAGGGACTATGTGATTGAACTTAAATCATTTTGGCAAAATGACAATACATACTGACAAACTGACACAGATACAATTCAAGCTGTTGGTTGAACCTATTCTGAAACATTGTATTTATTATCGTTTGTTCCACCTCTAATTATGCTCAGCTCAGCTTAGCTTTGATGCACAAGAGACATCACGTCAAGACAGCCAACATTTGGACAGTACATTGGATGTCGTGCAACATGACAACCAATATTTGTTGGACGGCCTATGGCATTGAGCTGTTTCATGTGCAGAGTGCAAGTGCAATTACCAGACGGTGTCAGAGAAACAAACAGTATGCTTTGTCAATGGAGAATTGGAGAAGCAAAGAAGATGCCATAATGTGTCTGATGTAAACATTAGAGTTTTGTTTTTGTATATGTTGTATTAGTGCCAGGGCTTATTCAACATATTATACTACAATGTATCATATTAATCATATGTGTAATGTAAACAATTATCAGCTTGGTCAGCTTGGTGTATTTATATCATACACAACACATGTGGCAATGCTGTCGGATGCTGTTGTCTGTATGTATATACATGAACCAACACGGGCTCATATGTGTGTCTTCTTGAAGTTTCTTGTGTTTTGTGATACCTGCTGAACTCTGAGGCAACTTGCAGCCGGCAGCCTACATCTAATTTGTGTGGCGCCCTGGTCACTGATCTAGTTTAGCATAGTTTACGGTTTGGAGGTAGTTGAGAGTGAATGGATTCGTTGCTCAGTTCAGTGGCGCAACAATGTGGGCATGTCATGTATGTTCAAGTCATCAGTCATCAGGTTGACTTACTCAATCGCAGAAGGGACGAAACTGAACATATATTTATACACGTATGCACTAGTGTGCAGTGTGCAGTGTGCAGACATGTTTTAAATGTACATTATGTTGAGTGGTTGTGTTGAGCTGCTTAGCAATTTCGATCTCTCTCTCACACTTTGACATCACCGACATTACTCGACATTTCACAGTTGCCATTTGGCTTCACTTGAGCTGGCACACCTGTTCACCAATCACATCTATCTCTCGTGTGGTAGTTTGATCTTTTCAATTGCTGAGTTTTGCAGTGGCTGTCATGGCAAGTGTACCTAGTGGCAGTGGCGGTGCATCATCTCAGTTTGGTCAGCTTGGAAAAGCTCCACAGCTGAAGGAACAGTTGTACAATCCAGATGCCAAACTTACCGATTTGTTTGGCTCACTGGAGCCGAAGATGATGCTTGACGCTATCATTTCAACTTACTGCAAGGCGTGGTTTGGGGAGAATGATACATGTGTGGCTTTTGGTAGTGCAAAGACATCGTACTTAACATACGAGTCAAGTCATGCCACCATCTTGCCATTCTTGCCATGGTGACTCATTATAACCGATACCTTAACTGTGTTCCAGTCATGATTTGAATCAATGAACATTTCCACTTTGTGATCCTTTATCTTTCGACACACTTTGGCATCTTTGGGTCTTTGGAGTCTTTGACCAAGTGACGTTGTAGTTATTTGACAGACGCAACATATCATGTTGTGTGGTGTGAACTTGTATGTGTTTCCCCTAGTTTCTCACTCCTGTCTTCAACATCTCACCACCTCACCACCACCTCTGCTCAGAAGAAACGAGCACGACTTCCGTGGTACTTCTATGTCGGCTCCGGCCCTGATGCTGAGAAGAAACGAAGCTTCGTTCGTGATAGCTCAAACTCTGGGCGAAAGCTGGCAACCGTGATGGCTTTGAAAAGGTCAGTTCAGGAGAAAGGTGTCGTTGAAGATGCTCGTGGTCGCATGTGGGTAATCGACCGTGAAGACCCTGAATCGTCACTTAGCAGATCTTATACCAAACTCACCAATCGGATGAACTCAACTTAACTAACTAACTCTAGTAACGTGCAATAGCCATCTATACAAATCGATGGGTCATGAATCATAGCGATATCATAACGTGTTCGTCGCTCAGTTAAATTGTGCAATGGTGTGCACAGTTTGAGTCCATTGACACATTGAATTGATGTCATTGATGTTAACCAATTGGTGTTCACTTGTATTTACTTAACTTGCAGCTTTGCAGCATTGGTAAAACTAAGGCCTTACACCTGTCTCTCTTGGGGTCATTTGATACTTGGCCAAACATCACTGACAGGCTGACTGACGGTTGACTGTTTAACACAATCAAAATAAATCAATGTGACCATGACCATGTGATATTGCTCACTGACATCTTGCAGCTGGGTTGGTTGGTTAGCTGGTTGGTTGCATATGGTCAGGTTAGGCCAAGGCTACACACATGTAACGATAACAAGTACAAGGTTAGTTACCATTGAACTTTTGAACTTTGATCTTAGTTCATGTATCGTCAACTTATGCTGTTCTATATGTATGTATATTATTGTTCTGATGCTCTTGCAGCCGCTGCCATAGCCATCAATGCAGATTCCATTGTTGTCATTGTCGTCCCACACTTGCCCAGGACTGAAGCAGTGTACTTGGCGGACCAGCAGAGCCAGGAGAACACAACCCCAAACGCAATGGTAAGCAAATCCATTGATCAGGGAGTAGAGGCAGAGGTGTTTGAGGCCATGCCCAATGAAGCACGTGAGTTCTTGGTGAAGTTTCACAATTCAGTGGACGATCGACGCGAACTAATGGAACAAATGAAACTGGTGAAGAAGGCAAGGTCTCAGGGTGAGTGAGTCGTGGTTACGAGTCTGGACAGTCAGGAACAAGACAAGTTGGACCAACGGCGAACAATGACATATCATGGACTTTGATACAATAATTACAAAATTACAATACTTCATGTCTTCATGCTTATTGCTTATGTCATTTATATATACTTCTGGTCGTTCATGATGACATGATGTGATGTGATGTGGCAATGCAGTGACATCATGACAGTTCATACTACTATTCATTATCTCACTGTCAAATTGTCACAATGACGCACCAATGTTGTTGGTGAGGCAGAAGCTGCATGGAGACACCATCGCCAGAACATTGGTGCCACTGGCCGTGCGTTGGGCCAGAACTATGAGACTGAGTATTGGAAGTTTATCTCTAATCGTTATGTGGGCGTTTGGAGGCAAAGTGCAGTGCAGTCAATAGATCGCTATGGACTGGACTATGGAATATGAACTGGACAATGGACCTCAATTTACAATATTGATGTATTGCTACAATCATAGTTCTCAAAATTTGAGTTAGTTAGAGCTGCACCATCTCGAACACTTCATTGTTTAGGGGATTTGATATTAATGTGGTATCATGATGTCATGTGCGATGCAGGTCTTTCAGGGCTTTCGATTCATGCAAAGTCACCACCAACATGATTGTGCAGCTTGGGCTGCTGGACTATGTCTATGAGAGTTTCAACAACGGTGTGGACATCTTTCGATCTGGCTTCACCCCTGAAAATACCTTTCAAGCGATGCACAACTTACTGTCGATGTTGACGCAATCGTTGGCCGATTGCCCATCAGATCACAGGCAGGGCTGATAGGTTGATTGGGATTATGGTTAATGGCATTACGATTGTCGATGTGACCACGTCCGAAACTTTTGCAAATACTTCCCATGGTCTTGACTCTTCACAACTTCACATCACATCCAAACCATAAGCCAATTTGATAACACATCCGATTGATGTGCTGGACCAGTAACCTATGTAAGTATTGATAACTTTTGATCATGACCACCCTGGCCACTGGCCACACACCGACCCTTTGTTGTCATTGTACTATCGCTGTGTATTGTATGCTTCTGGTCATTTATTTTGTGAAGGTAATTTTAATGACCTAAACACTTGAACACCATGAGAAATACCAATAGGTCCGCTATTGGAAACCGATAGGATCTATTTGGAGACTCTTGCGTACGAGTCGCTCAAGTTCTGTGTGCCTTGTCTGAACTTAAATTAAATTACTAAAGCCAATCAGTTTAAACTGGAAAGTATGTATACAGACAGACAGACAGACATACAGACAGACAGACAGACAAATGACACATGCCCAAGCATATCCAATCATAACAAATGACAATGACAGCCAGCAGGAAAGTGAAAGACGACTACATTTGACTCAACTGATAGTGACTCATGACTGTGACAGTCATAGTTTACGATCTTTTTGATTTTGTGTTCTAGTCTGAGGTCCCATGGTTAGATGAAGCACCATCTCCGGTCGATTGGCTTTTCGACCGTCCTCGACCGGACTTGGGGTCTAGACTCATCTTCAACATGGCAAAAACATCACTAGTGACTGGTGGCAGCACTGGGGGCAAACGCTCGGCCACCAACGGTGCAGCAGCAGCAGCAAAGCGCCGTCGAACCGCAACTGGCTCGACTGAGGGTGGTTTGGACACATTGAGGATGACGGCTGATCATGTCATCAATGCAGTGGCTGGTGATGGTGGCCGTTGCATGACCTTTGCAGACATGCTCATTGATTCAGTTGTCTTTGTTGTCCACAAGATTGATGCTGAATTTGCGAATGCAGCAACATCAATTGGAATGAGACTTGCTTAACTGAGTGAGTTTCATGGTGAGCTTCACTGCCTAGTAGACTGGATTTTATGTTGTCAGTTTTACATCAACATGATGCATAGTCTTGATCAAATTAGGTTTGTGTGATGCTATGCTTCAAAACACCTTGAATCAGCCTTGAATCAAACAGAGCCCACACCCATCCAAGGACACACTCTTTAGTACGTCGTGTCATCGGACCATACTTCAGTGAGATGCTGCACTTTGCATGGACGGGAAAAAAGCAAATTGGTGGTAAGAGCGTCACTGCCTTATCCAAAGTCAAAGGGCCAGCAATGGCTGAATTGATGAACAATCTTCTCAAAGCTTGCCTCCCAAACTTTGCTAGTGTCCAGTCGAATGAGACACTAGTTGATAGACTGCACTGTTTCTTGCAGCAACAGGAGTCTGACAGACCACAGGCATCAGCTAGTGTGAGGACACGTGGTGGTGGTGGCAACAGTGATGCTGAGGATCACAAGTTGAAAGCGTTGGTCTTTTTTGCAACCGAAGGTCTTGGCATGAAACCAATGGTGCATGGGGAAGAAAACAAGACCTTTGGCACCAAGCTCAAATCGATCATGGACTTGTGTCAAGAGTATCTAGGTTAGCAGGTTAGCATGATCAAACATGCATCATATGCTCATGAGTGTCATGTCATGTATTTGCAGTATGTCATGCAATATGCAATGATATGTGGTATGTAGTGAGGTGTGCAGTTGATCAGTTGATCTATATTCCTTGTGACACATAGTGAAACAAACAAACCAAACTGACTGCATTACTGCACTGCACTTTGCGGCCTTCGGCTCTGACTGTGTTGGAGTCTACTTGTTTCTATGTTTTAGAGTTTTAGTGTGTTGTTGTGATCACTGAATGTTAGCATATATTTATACTTTGTCACTCATGTGAAGACAAGCTAAGGTATCGATCGTTTCGCGACACCCCACTGATGAAGAACATGATGGTTTCATTGGTGGCCGGATGTTCTTGTGGCAAGCCACTTGGTTGGTTGTTGAATCATTGATTGTAATTTAAATACAAGCTTCATAGGTTCATCAGTCGTTTCACCATCATTCAATTGTTTGGTTCATTCGATGATTTGTTGATGCATTGGATCGTTGATAGTGTAAACTTATTGAATGTTTTAACAAGTTCCATTTTGTTCCAATTAATGTTTGGTATACTAGTATAAGACTAGTATACCAGGTATACCATGTATACCACGAGAACATCATACAAAAAAGTCTATTTACGTATAATGTTCGGAGTATTGATTAGTTCCAGGTCTCAAAATTCAATTGGTTAAGTCGCTGAATCGAGCTGAGTCGAACTGAACATGTCTGGCATGTCTGGATTGACATGAATTGACACGAGGACTGAAGTTAAGGGAGAGTGTGCATATCATCATGCCAGCGCCAACATCATGGACATGACGTATGATGTGGCAAAGGTCCTGTTTGCACAGTACCCGATGATGGTCCAAGATTGGATCCAATCAGTTGCGACTGCTTATGCCCAGAGCTGGGAGCTTCCAGCCATCCTCAAGAATGTTGGGGTGGTTGCCGATACTGTTTTGCTTTTCCAAAGTCTGCGGGTTGACTGTGTGCTGGCAATGTTTGACTTCATTGCCCGTGGGCATGCAACGTTGCGCACTGCTGATGAAGCAGAGATCGCTGAATCTGTGAAGGCAAGGTGGGTCCGAAGATTATTTCAATTGTTCGCTTTGGATACCTTTGCTTTGCTTGGCTTGCCCCTGGCACTGCTGGCACATAATGATTATAATGACGCTGACACTGGACATTTCTAAGTATCATGATGATAATGTTACACCAATACTCAACAGTCACTATCACTGTGAGTCATGGTGACATCACATTACACTTTACAATACTTTACACAACATCGTCACATCACCAGCACCAGCTGACCAAATCTTAACTTAAATAGTCGATTTGCCAACATAAGAATGCAGGTGATGCAGTCTGAAGGGGCCCACGCTCATGAGCCTATCGCTGCGATCATTGCGGTCTTGCGGCAAAAGAAGATCAAGCGGATTCTTGTGGCAACAGATCGTTTCATGAGTGATCGCCAACATTTCATCGAGGGGTGGACGAAGCTGCTTGACAAGAGCTTGAATCACATCAGTGAAGGCAGCAAAGCTGCAAAACAGCAGCTAACATTGGAAGCTTGGCAATAATAAAACCATATTGAACTTGACTTGAAGTTACCGATTTGGTTGAAACTTATAAATATAGTAGCTCGTGAACAGAGATCATTGCATTTCTTCACATGCGCCATGCCATCGATACACAATGACACTGCATGGTTTGCTTCATTATTGATGGTACTGCACTGCTGGGATTTTTCACCATTGGTCTTCAATGGTCTTCACACTGCATTGCCTGCATGTTTTCTCAGGAGTTGGAAAAGTTCTTTCCTGCACTACAGGTTACCTGGCCTGGCTGACACTGATGTGATGAGACTGGTTGACTGGTTGGATGGATGGATTGTTTATGTATGTAGTATCAGGTTTTGTTGTAGCTGTGATTGTCATGATCAGTTGATCAGTTATCAGTTATCAATGGGTTTGGCGATCATGATCATCCATTCCATCATCAGAATCGAGCACATGGATGAATATGAATTGTAATATATTGTTTATGATCTTCCAGGTTTCATAAACAACATATGTAATAGACATATTTAAGCTCGAGTTCAATTAAGTTCAATTATACTCAGTCAGTTGCCGCCCAAATATCACATTCAAATCTTTCGTTTTCAGTCGCTTTAATCAGAGCTCAGGCTGAGTTATCGTCAACTCAGACTCAACCAGCACAAGGTGCTGCCACGGCCGGTGTCAGTGCGACCGGGAAGGAAACTCTGCGACTTGCGGCTGCAGCTGATGGATCACAACAGGTTCCAGTGTCTCGAACTATCAAAGCCGACTTCGGGGTTTTGGGTTTGTTATTTGTTGAATTACTGATGGATCAATCAAAAAGAATTACACTGCACCTTTGAGTCTCGCTCTTGCTACATCATGGTAATTATCATCATTGTTATTTGTTCATTGTTTATTTTGGTTATTAGTTTTAGAAGATGGCCCATGGCCAACAAGACATTATCATGTAGTCCATTTAGTCCATTTGGTATTTGATTAATCTTCGAGCACAATGATGACCATGGCTCTTTTCACTGGATTTCACTGGCTTCTAAGTTCAACGAGTTGATGAAGCATCCATCGGTCGCGGAATGCACGATCGACATTGTCCATGAGAAGGCCATGATCTATGAAAGGCTTCTCTCTCTGGCACAGCCGCTTGCTTTGCAAGAAGAACCATGCAATGCAGTATTGGATATACATTCTATATTTGTTTAAGTATGTTTGTTTGTTTTTTGAATACGCAATGGATGGCAATGCTATTTGTTTCATTTTGAAGTCAGCAGAATCTACAGAACATTGATTAGAGCAATGTAATTGTGCGAACTATATGCGAAGACAATTTCTTCATATTTGTTTTAGAATCATGTCAGGTCACGTGATTCGCCAAATTGGGAGAAGCTGCTTGTGATCTTCGATGCAGCTGACATCAAGCAAACCACCTACGCTGTCAAAATCAAAATTGATGGTGATGATGAACCCAAGATTTTGACGACCAGTCAGTTACTTCGTTCTGGTGCTGCTGCCCACTGTGAAGGAAAACAGCTAGTAGTCTTGGAATCATCAGGTGCACTGGCGGCATCAATGGCCAATCAAAGTCAAAGTGGCCAACCTGGTGATGCAGCGACAGCAGAACCTGAAGATGGCATCAGGTTTTATGGGATGAAGGTTTCTGAGTTGACCCAGTTGACATCGCTTGAGTTCACTTTCTTTGGAGAGGTAGGCTTGGAAGGGAAGGCGCCCACACTTGCTTTGACCTCGGCAACACCTGATGATTCAAAGTCTCCGGCTTTACCATGGCATATCATGGGAACCAAAAATGACAACCTGATGTCATCAGAGTGTGCTTGTCCGGCATGGTTGATCCCAAAGGCAAAAGCTGCAGCCAAACCCACCAAGAAGGACAAGACAGACAAGGCCGACAAGACTGAGAAAGACAAACCATGCATCAGCAAGGACAACATGGACAAGGACAAGGACAAGGACAAGGAGAACGATCCAATGACGGGGAACCATGTACCTGAAGGAGAACATGGTGATCAGCCTGCTGCTGAGGATGATGACGATTCCTCAGCATTGAGCGCACTAGCAGCAGTTGCCTTGGGTACTCAAGTGAAGGGCGCTGGCAAGGGCGGTCGGGCAGGTCGGGGCAGAGGAGCACCCAAATGCAAAGCTAAGGCAAAGGCAAAAGCGAAGGGCAAGGCGAAGAAGTCCGATGTGGAACAGCTGGATGGCTTATCAGTGTTTGTTCAGCCTGTGTTGCTTGTCGCCAGTTCATTGATATTTTGTTTTTGATGAACAAATCTTGAATTTGTTTCTTTTAATAACTTGTGATTGATGTTGATAATAGATCATCAACCTAATGATGATTTGTTTTCCATATCAAATTGTTCAGTGATATTGGTTTGGTGTATCCTTTTCTCTCTGTGTTTTGTTTTGATGTGATAATGTCAGATAAATCCAACAAATCGATGGGTTTGTGAATTGTGTTTGTTGTGATTTGTAAGGTTGACGTTCGATTCCGACCTCGTCACACCATTGACGGTGAAGAGAGGCGACAGTGAGAAGGATATTGAGATCATTGTGCCCCGTTTGATTGCCAACCCACTCTTCAAGCAGCTGATGGATATGCCGAAGGAAGAACAACCACCAGTCATCTACATCCCTGTGCGTGAGATCGGTGAGAATGAATGGCTCTTGACTCTCAGCCGTGGCCCTTTGTCACTTAGCTGATGTTTCTGTTCATTAATTTTGTTTTCTTCGGCCTTCTTTGTTCATCTAACATCTAAGTTTGAATAAGTTTGAACAGTTTGATCGCATTCACATCAATGTCCAACATCGAGTTCAAATTGTAGGGGCACAATTCCAGTTCGACCAGTCCAGTCATGTCATGCCACACACTCATCACATGCCCAACGATGATGCTTTGCAGGCCATGCGAGGTGCTGAAGATGCAAGAGCGATCGACAGATCAGAAGGACAAGGAAGCTGTGGAACACCACTTGAAAGTCTTAGAGGCATGGGGGAACAAACCCGTTTGGCAGGGCGTGCCAGACACGTTGGCATCGGTGGTCACTGGTGCTACAAAACGTGGCAATGCCAATGACAAATGCAGCAAAGACATGCGACACTTATCCGTGTGATGAGTTGACAATAGCTGTGCCTGTTTTGACCATGGGTCTTTTGTGTTATGCTACAATGCGCTGACACACTTACGATCATACGATCATTTAATTGATTTCATCGAAATCGATGAGAACTCTCAGTGAACTGGCGTAGTAGATCATGAGCTCACCAGGCTCGCATTCCCATTGCGCAATTGAACCAATGAGTACAATACATATATGATTTCAATTCTTACATGACTTGCACCATGAGAGTCATGACAGTCAAAGCCATGTCAGCGACATTGTTTCCCAAGCTATGTTGCTACCTCATCCATTTACTCAAAGCGTCGGGGTTGGTGGGGATGCTGGAGCAGGGAGCTGAACAACATACCGCAGCGGATGGGCCGAAGAAGCGGAAATGAACAAAACCTTGCATCATGGATTCATGAATCATAGATACATCAAACTGATTTATTGATTTATAGTTTTATATTTTTATGGGTATTGATGAGACTTGGATTATAATGTCAAACAACCCACATCAATCGTTATGATGATGGATTGTCCTTGTACCACGTGATGATTTGGAACCACTCCCATACTCCCAGGTCGAGCCATTCAAGCACAGCCAAGCCGGCCGAACCTACAACTCTCAGCCATGCATGGAAAAAAATGTCTGGGTGGAGTGAGTTGTATGATGTCATTGAACTTAACAGCATATACCAAAGAGCGAACGACTCTGGTCACATGATGCATTTCACTAACCTATGAAATTATGATATGTTAAAAAAGTTTCCCGGAGGCTTCTGAGGCTTTAGTGGCTTCAATCAGGGACCGGGTCTGGTCTGATCATATTGGTGCACATTTAGATGCACTCATGCACTCAGATGATGTGGACTAATTGCATCATCATATCATGCCATTGGTTACATCATACACAGGAACATGCATGCATACAATCATATGTATATATATATATATACAATTATATATATATATATGCATGTATGTATATATATATGTATATATATATGCAGGCATACATATGCAAATATATGTATATATATACATGTTTATGTATACATGTAAGCTTTAACATAATCTAAGGGTATTACTGGGGATAGACCTGGCTCACTGCCCCAAGTGGCAGCTACCTGCCTGGTACCTTTTACCCCTTGAGTTTGGACATTACTACGGGATGGAGTAAGAATCTGCTAGGGAAAGATGTGGGAAGGTGAAGTATTGAAAGGCTCTCTTACTCCGTTATCGTTTCGATGTCGTGTCAATTACATTGGGTAATTGAATTAAAACATACCACGGAGTAGCGGAGTAGCGCGGAGTAGCGACGGATTGGTGAATGTTGCCTGGGTGGTGCTGCATTGCAATCGCCGCATTGGAGCTAGGGAACGGAGACAGCTGATACCACATGTGCGCTTTCAGGTTCCATTTCTGGGGCCGGAAAGTCAATTGAAATCAGGCTTCGCATGTGCGGGCCTCCCCTGTTCCAACTCTATATGCTTGTTGCTTAACTAAACGCAGTTGTCATTCTTGTTCGTTGCACGGGTCGGCCTTTGCTGTTGATTTTGCGATTTTGCGGTCTCATTTTTGGTACCGCCAGACGGTCTCAAAAATGAGACCGTGAAAGAGCTTTTCTTTTGTTTTTTTACTAAGCGGTGCATGCGGTCCCAAAAATGGGACCGCCAGGCGGTCCCATTTTTGGGACCGTGTTTAGGTTCATTTTTTGAAGTTTTTTGTATCAGGGTTGCAGAAGCGCAACGTTTTGGTTTCAATGAAACTTTGTGGCTTATGGCGACCGGAAGGGCAACTAGGGAGGCCCTTTTGAGCGAAGCCGGTTTTGAGAAGCTTTTCCGGACCCAGAATTGGGTCCGTCGGAGCAAGCTGTTTTGTAGATGCTTTTGTTTCTTATTGAGGCAAGCGGGGTGCAAATCGGTTGCTGCTTGAACCCAGTTAAAGGATGTTGAAGGTAGCTTTTTATGATTTCGTTTCGTCTGGTGGCTTGATTGTTTGCTGCTAAAAGAAAGCGCATCAGCCTTTTGCAGCCTTAGGTGATTGCTTGAAGTGTTTCTTGCTGTTGAGAGTTTGTGGGTTTTCGCGAAGGTGGCGGCTTCCATTTGAATGATTGTATTGAATACTTTACTGCCCCTTGTTGGCCCTCCTTGCCCCTCTAGACTCCTACCGAAGTTTGCAGCCCAGAAAGAACATAAATAATGATCTTTTCAGTCAATCCCGTTATTAATTAATAGTATTAATTTAAAACGGGATGGAGTAAGAATCTGCTTAGGGAAAGATGTGGGAAGGTGAAGTATTGAAGGCTCTCTTACTCCGTTATCGTTTCGATATCGTGTCAATTACATTGAGTAATTGAATTAAAACATACCACGGAGTAGCGGAGTAGCGCGGAGTAGCGGCGGATTGGTGAATGTTGCCTGGGTGGTGCTGCATTGCAATCGCCGCATTGGAGCTAGGGAACGGAGACAGCTGATACCACATGTGCGCTTTCAGGTTCCATTCTGGGGCCGGAAAGTTAATTGAAATCAGGCTTCGCATGTGCGGGCCTCCCCTGTTCCAACTCTATATGCTTGTTGCTTAACTAAATGCAGTTGTCATTTTTTGTTCGTTGCACGGGTCGGCCTTTGCTGTTGATTTTGCGATTTTGCGGTCTCATTTTTGGTACCGCCAGACGGTCTCAAAAATGAGACCGTGAAAGAGCTTTTCTTTTGTTTTTTTACTAAGCGGTGCATGCGGTCCCAAAAATGGGACCGCCAGGCGGTCCCATTTTTGGGACCATGTTTAGGTTCATTTTTTGAAGTTTGTTGTATCAAGGTTGCAGAAGCGCAACGTTTTGGTTTCAATGAAGCTAGGCCCTTTTGAGCGAAGCCGGTTTTGAGAAGGTTTTCCGGACCCAGAATTGGGTCCGTCGGAGGAAGCTGTTTTGTAGATGATTTGGTTTCTTGTTGGGGCAAGCGGGGTGCATATCGATTGCTGCTTGAACCCAGTTGAAGGTAGCTTTTTATTATTTCGTTTCGTCTGGTGGCTTGATTGTTTGCTGCTAAAAGAAGGCGCATCAGCCTTTTGCAGCCTTAGGTGATTGCTTGAAGTGTTTCTTGCTGTTGAGAGTTTGTGGGTTTTCGCGAAGGTGGCCGGCTTCCATTTGAATGATTGTATTGAATACTTTACTGCCCCTTGTTGGCCCTCCTTGCCCCTCTAGACTCCTACCGAAGTTTGCAGCCCAGAAAGAACATAAATAATGATCTTTCCAGTCAATCCCGTTATTAATTAATAGTATTAATTTAAAACGGGATGGAGTAAGAATCTGCTAGGGAAAGATGTGGGAAGGTGAAGTGTTGAAAGGCTCTCTTACTCCGTTATCGTTTCGATGTCGTGTCAATTACATTGGGTAATTGAATTAAAACATACCACGGAGTAGCGGAGTAGCGCGGAGTAGCGACGGATTGGTGAATGTTGCCTGGGTGGTGCTGCATTGCAATCGCCGCATTGGAGCAAGGGAACGGAGACAGCTGATACCACATGTGCGCTTTCAGGTTCCATTTCTGGGGCCGGAAAGTCAATTGAAATCAGGCTTCGCATGTGCGGGCCTCCCCTGTTCCAACTCTATATGCTTGTTGCTTAACTAAACGCAGTTGTCATTTTTTGTTCGTTGCACGGGTCGGCCTTCGCTGTTGATTTTGCGATTTTGCGGTCTACCGCCAGATGGTCCCAAATGTGCTTTTCTTTTGTTCTTTTACTAAGCGGTATGCGGTCCCAAAAATGGGACCGCCAGGCGGTCCCATTTTTGGGACCGTGTTTAGGTTCATTTTTTGAAGTTTGTTGTATCAAGGTTGCAGAAGCGCAACGTTTTGGTTTCAATGAAGCTAGGCCCTTTTGAGCGAAGCCGGTTTTGAGAAGGTTTTCCAGACCCAGAATTGGGTCCGTCGGAGGAAGCTGTTTTGTAGATGATTTGGTTTCTTGTTGGGGCAAGCGGGGTGCATATCGATTGCTGCTTGAACCCAGTTGAAGGTAGCTTTTTATTGTTTCGTTTCGTCTGGTGGCTTGATTGCTTGCTGCTAAAAGAAGGCGCATCAGCCTTTTGCAGCCTTAGGTGATTGCTTGAAGTGTTTCTTGCTGTTACAGGAGTTTGTGGGTTTTCGCGAAGGTGGCCGGCTTCCATTTGAATGATTGTATTGAATACTTTACTGCCCCTTGTTGGCCCCCCTTGCCCCTCTAGACTCCTACCGAAGTTTGCAGCCCAGAAAGAACATAAATTATATGATCTTTTCAGTCAATCCCGTGATTAATTAATAGTATTAATTTAAAACGGGATGGAGTAAGAATCTGCTTAGGGAAAGATGTGGGAAGGTGAAGTATTGAAGGCTCTCTTACTCCGCAATCGTTTCGATATCGTGTCAATTACATTGGGTAATTGAATTAAGACATACCACGGAGTAGCGGAGAGTAGCGCGGTATGAGAAAGATACATAGTAAAAGAAAAACATATAAGTAGAGAAAGGTAAAGTTAGAGACGGAGTGGTGGAATGCTTGCCTGGGTGGGTGTGCCTGCATTTGCATCGCCGCATGGAGCTAGGGAACGGAGACAGCTTGATACCACAATGGTGCGCTTCAGGTTCCATGCTACGGGGGCCGGGGAAAGTCAATTGAATCAGGCTTCGCATGTGCTGGCCTCCCCTGTTCCAACTCTTTATATGCTTGTTGCTTAACTAAACGCAGTTGTCATTCTTGTTCGTTGCACGGGTCGGCCTTTGCTGTTGATTTTGCGATTTTGCGGCCTCATTTTTGGTACCGCCAGACGGTCTCAAAAATGAGACCGTGAAAGAGCTTTTCTTTTGTTTTTTTACTAAGCGGTGCATGCGGTCCCAAAAATGGGACCGCTAGGCGGTCCCATTTTTGGGACCATGTTTAGGTTCATTTTTTGAAGTTTGTTGTATCAAGGTTGCAGAAGCGCAACGTTTTGGTTTCAATGAAGCTAGGCCCTTTTGAGCGAAGCCGGTTTTGAGAAGGTTTTCCGGACCCAGAATTGGGTCCGTCGGAGGAAGCTGTTTTGTAGATGATTTGGTTTCTTGTTGGGGCAAGCGGGGTGCATATCGATTGCTGCTTGAACCCAGTTGAAGGTAGCTTTTTATTATTTCGTTTCGTCTGGTGGCTTGATTGTTTGCTGCTGAAAGAAGGCGCATCAGCCTTT